CAAGTATCGATGCAGAGATAGCAGAAATGAGTAGAGTTCCATATGCTTCCGTTGTTGGATATATCATGTATGTTATTACATGTACTCGCCCTGATGTGGCTTTCGCTTTGAGCATGGTTAGTCGTTATCAGGGGAATCCAGGTAGAGCTCATTGGATAGTGGTCAAGAATGTTCTTAAGTATCTGCGAAGAACTAAGGACTGGGTCCTTGTGCTTGGTGGCAGTGACGCCTTAAGAGTAACCGGATATAGTGACACCAACTTTCAGACAGACAGAGACAACTTTCATTCTTAATCTGGCTAGGTGTTTACCCTTAATGGAGGAGCGATAACCTGGAAAAGTTCCAAACAAGAGACAGTGGTTGATTCTACCTGTGAATCAGAGTACATAGCAGCAAGCGAAGCATCAAAGGAAGCTATATCATTGAAGAACTTCATCGGAGACCTTGGAGTTGTTCCATCCATCAAGGAGCCAATGAAGATTTTCTGTGATTATGAAGGGACGGTTGCCTTAACAAAGGAACCAAGAGATCATGGCAGATCAAGGCATATCGACAAAAAATACCATTTCATTAGACATAAAGTAGAAGAAGGTTACCTCGTCGAGAGGGTATCGTCTGAAGAAAATCTAGCAAATCCCCTCACAAAGGGTCTGAGTAGGATTAAGCACGTTCAGCATGCTAGGAGCATTGGTCTGAAGGATGATATTAGTTTTAGTAGTTAGATAGTTGTTTAGAAACTTGTAACAAATAAATGTAACTGACATTTGATGATTAAATAATGGAGAATTATTTATGAGTATTGTTTACTATCTTTTGTCAATTGTTTATTATTGTGTTTCAATTTTTCATGTTTTACTTCTAGAATAATTAGATTATTTAAACATCCACAGTCGATCATACTCTTGGAAGTAAGTAGTGAATCAAGACTATCATGAATTGGATTGTAGATTGTCTAAAGTGTTTAGACATAGCAATGGTTTTCTGCAACATTCATGAGTACTTTAAAATATAGATTTAAGTATTGGATTAACCCACGCTCATAGAACTACTTCATGGAATTTATCACGAGTAATACTGAGACGATAATATCTTATAATCTTTAAACGGAGATATATGAGTTGTTGTTTATGAGTTGGTTGTGCATTGATAATACGTAAACACATCAGTAACTTGATGATATAAAACGTATTGTTGTGCATGATTTGATGAGTAAATAGTGCAAGCATATAAATCAAAGTTTATATGTTCCTTTTTCCCTAACGGGAAAAGCGATATCTTGGGCCCCTCGATAATTTGGTGTTGACTTATAGTGCCGGGCCTGGACAGGACTAAATTGATGTGTTCGATTAGTAGTTCTTTGTCATTACAAATCAGAAATCGGGAAACAAAATATTAGACTATGAGATTAATTCTATTCCATGTAATTTTTCCACATGATATCTTGCAGAACGGAGGATTATATGATCACTTATCTTAGGACACGTAACTGACTAGGTCAGAGTTCGACAGCGACTTTGAGATCTACAATTTGCTGATCAATTTAGAAGGATATACTGGAAACTATAGTTATTAGACTTATCCAAGTGGGAGACTATTGGATTAGGTGTCTAAGCCCATAACAATAATTGGTATATACTTGAATTGATAGTAGCACAGTCCTTTTGGGTTGCCCTCAAGACTAGCAACTGGGAAGGATGATTTTGGAGAAAGAGGTTGATGTTGGGTACAAAGTTATCTATGTACAACTTTGTAAATGGTTTGACTTCTGTAGACCCACTTGCATGTGGTAAAGTAGCCTTATGACACGAGATAGAGAGAGAGAGAGAGAGAGAGATAGAGAGATAGAGACATGTAAATACCTCTATATAAGGTGGATTCATACCACTTGAAGAGGTGTGCTTGAGATATGTAACATTGAGAGTGTGAGTGTGTGTTAATTATGTAGATTTAGATCTAGATCCCTTTTTGTAACACCTTTCATAATCGAATGCATCTCTTAAACACCCAAATCACCGTGTTCTTTGTGTGTTCATTAATTCCGCATGTCAAATCAATGCTCATAATTCACATCGGTTGATTTATTAATTTGATTAATAAATTGAAATAAGTAATTTATTAATATATTTTGAGAATAATATGTTAATTAGAAATAGCAATATTTAATTAATATTGAATCAGAAATTAATTAGAATTAATTTTGGGATTAAAAGGATTAATTAAAGGTGCAGGGACTGAATTATAATTGTTCAATAGTTAAGCAAGAGGCAATTTAGAACCCTCCATGGGCTATGGACGGTTTCCTAGAGCCTTAAGGTTTCTAGAATAGTCCCTTATGGATATTCAGGAAAATGGATAATTACCTGGTTTAAGATAATCTTGGATTTGGGCTTAGCTCGGGTTTTCTGACTGCACTATAAATAGGGTTGATACCCTATGATTTTCGGCCACTTGTTCTTGAAGAGTACCAGCCGAAAATTGCAACTTACCTCCTCCTTCTCAATCATTCTTCTATTGCTAGTGTTGGGTGTGAGCCATTAGAGGCGTGATAATTGTGATGCTTGTTCTCAAAGTCTCAACAACACTAAGGATTTGGATTGTTATTATTATATAATAATCAAAGGTATGTTTTGTAACCCTAATTATGTAATTTTGATTATATACTAGTGCTCTAGGGTTTCTATATTTTTGTTCACATTCTATGTCCAATTAGAGAAAACATAGATCAATTTTAGGGTTAGATGCACACATAGGATTGTTTGTTATGCTCAAAACCCATCACTAATATCTAATCAACATAAGGTATGGTACTTTTTTATCAATGTATTACAATATATGGTATGTCATTTTAAACTCTTATATCATTGACACTTATTTAGGGATTGATTGAGGCAGTGAAAGAGGTACTTCCAGAAGCAGAACATAGACAATGTGCAAGGCATATACATGCTAACTTTAGAAAGAAATTTCCTGGAGTACAATTTGAAAATATTTTCTGGAGGGCCAGTAAAGCAACTACTGAAGCACATTTCAATGCAGCCATGAAGGAGATTCAAGAACTAAATCCTGCTCCCTTTGTGCATCTTGTGGAGAGGGATCCTAGGACATGGTCTTTGGCTTTCTTCAAAGTTCACCAATCTTGTGAATCTGTGGAGAATGAATACTATGAAAGCTTCAACATTGTTATAATGGATGCTAGGAAGAAACCTATTATTAGTATGTTAGAGCATATTTGTATTTATGTCATGCAAAGGATGGTAAAAATGCAAGTTAAAAGACAAGGATGGGATCGTTTAAATATATGTCCTGATATCAGGGACAAGTTGAATTTGTTAAAAATGAAGAAAATATATGTCACTAAATTTACTATTGAATGAACTATTTCACAACTTAGAATTATAGTTAACCGTTGTTGCTAAATTTAGGTATTGGCAAGTTATTTCTTATGGGGTTATGAAGTTTGAAACAAGAAACCTGGATCAGTCTTATGTTGTTGATGTACAGAAGAGGGAATGGACATGCAGGTTGTGGCAATTGAATGGCTATGGTTATGTGAACTCAGTTGCAACACTATCATTCTTAAATACTACACATTATCTGGCACATGTGGACAGTATGTACTTTGCAACATTATACCATAATACTTACAAAGAGCTCATGCATGGGATGAACATGTGGCCATCTATAGACAAAGTCCCTCCTTTGCCCCCAATTAAAAGAAGAATGCCTAGAAGACCTACTATGAAGAAAAAAGATATGGTTCAGAAAGGCCTGGCAGACACACAATATCAAAGGCTGAGAAATTTGTATGTTGTGGTGTATGTAAAGAGAAAGGACACAACAAGACCACTTGTCCTCAAGTTGAAAGGCCTCCTAAGACTAATGGTAGGAAACCACAAAGTGTGAGACAAACATAAGATTCAGTGAACATGGAGAGGGGTGGGGAAGATGTTGCAATGGCTGATGCTGATAGGGGATATGTTGAAATGCGTGATGCTGATAGGGAAGATGTTGAAATAGCTGATGCTGGTGGTCAAGATAATAGGTTTAATGAGCAGAAAGTGCATTTTGGTAAAGTGGAATAGCCAAGGATGAGGAAAAAATTTGAAAGAATCCTTAAATTAAAGCTGGGAAAAAAAATTGAAGGTGAAGTTAGCAGTGCATTAAAGTCAATGGATTTGGAGTAGTATGGGTGTAGTGTATGGTGGAGGGGTAATTACGTAATTTCCTTTTCTTTTAATGGAATATGTTGTACACAAGGGTGTTTATGTACTTTGAATTGGTGTTTAAATGTTATGTACTTTGAATTGGTTTTTAAAGGTTTATGTAATTTGTATTGCATTTTAATTGTTATTTTTATGCATTGGTTTAAATAGTTTCCATAATTGCCCCTTCATTTACCAATCAAGAATAAGGGCATGTCATAGTTTTGGGCCATCAGTTTTTTTAGATATTTGGCCCTACCAAAGTTTTCAAACTTGGTAACTTTCTATTTCTATATCTACTGACTTTATTCAGTCAATTGTATATGCAAGTCGTGGGGATTGAGGGGCCTTATGTCCAATGTGGAATATAAAACAAAAACCTTTTTCCCTTATACCTTTATAGCATGTGAGCATACAAAGCAAACCTTTTTCCTGTAAAGCATGTGGTCCCAAATATGTATATAGAACAAGAATCTTTTCCGTAAAATATAGCAACATACATGAACAAGTTCAAGCTTTGGGTCCTACGACATGAGTTGACATATACTAAAATAAAGGCACAATATGTATAATGCCATAATAGTCATTTGCATTCATCTGGGTTTTGTACATAATCCTACATAATATCATTGACATCCAAAAGAGTGGCTTCCATATTTGCCATCCACAAACAAAACAATATCTACCATACCAAAAGAAGAAAGCCATAACTATACTACCGGCTTCCACCAAAACACTAACACTTAACAGTTGACACCCAAAAATCAAAACCAAACAAAGCAAAGCAACGAACCTTCATCAGAACCACTTGTAATCTGCCACCACTCCCGCAACAGTGACCACTCCGAATAGACTTGTAACAATAAGCATCTTCTTCATCTTAACTATGTCATTTGATGCGCTGACATACGCTGTCTGGAGTGAATAAAAATGGTTCCTCAGGTCATCGATCAAATGGGACATCTCCAAAACACTTGCCCTTACATCATCGACCTCACGATTCATGGAATCCATCTCCCGGCATAGACTTTCCCTGAGCTCACGCTGGTCTGCATTCACTTCCTCCCCGATGAGTGAAAATTCAAGTTGAAGTTGGAGAAGAGTGATCTAGATGTCATGTCACTCACCTGCAATAGAGCCGTTGGCTGGAAAGTGACGCCGGTCTTCGAAGGACCGGTTGTTTCGTGACGACGCCGTAGAAGGCATTTTTTGCGTAGTTAGGTTACGATTTGCTTTGCGAATTTAGGGCAACAAAGTTAGTGGTTGTGATCGTTTTAGGGCACCAACATCCTTTTTATAACCACTTCGAGTAATGAACAGCCGAAAATTGCTCCCTAAGGGTTATACTCTAAACGACGTTGTATGGTCCAAGTCAATTGTGTACTGGTTTATGTTGCGTCATGTCCAAAACGGCATCGTTTCCTCCATGTCATAACAGAGTTGGCTTAACTTGCTTACCACACGTTTGTAATCGGTTAAAATAAGTTAAAGGGACTAAATGAACAGGTCTCAACACATTTTGTTCCCTTAAAAGGCAAGAAAAAAAGTTTGGTGACTGAAAGGGTAAAGTTAAAATACATAATAGGGTCGTTGCATCATTTTTCCTTCATTATATGCATATATGTTTTTTTAGATTACTTTTTTAATTGTATTCAACATGTAACTAAATTTCTTTTTGAGGTCTCACTATACCATTTTATATAGGTATACCATTGTATAGATTCTAATCATGTATACTGCCATTCAGCATGACAATTTTTTGGTCTGATATTGTGTCTACTATGACATCTGATATGGTAGATTGACTGATGCTTGATATTGTGTCTACTATGACATCTGATATGGTAGAATTATCATATTGAAATACACTTTACTGATATATTAAGAATATAAAAAACAATTTAGTGAAATATTGAATACAATGAGTAGATAATTAAACTAAAGAGCAAATTATGTGTTATTGATTATTTTTTATGGCATTAACCATTTTAGTAAACAATACAATTTATAAACTATAAAGTTTTAATTTATTCTAATAGACAAATTAACACTCCAATATGTAATAATTAAAAAAATCATTATTAAATTCGGATATCCGGTCATCAACATATTGCTTCCAACTTTAATATTTATTTTAAATCACATAACGACTAAATTTCCGAAAACGCAAGCAATTTATGTCATATATAATTGTGCATTCTTTCCAAATCATTCTTAATAGCCTTAATCAGAGCAATGATGAGTCAAATATGAATAAAATAGTTTATCATGGTCAATATGTATAAAAGCATCCATTTTTTTTATTTGTCCGTTTTGTCTTAGAATTTCACGATCCTTCGTTTACCTTTAAGGGTCAATGAATGATCAAACTCTAATGGTTTAAATATGCGGTGCAGTTTCAAATGCGATCTTTTAATTAGAAAGTGCAAACCACTCTACATAGTATAGTTAAACAAAATTATGAACCACAATCAAGAAAGTTATAAACTGTGTTATGTGGTACGTGTAATGACCCAAATTTTCTATATAAATGTCTAAGCAAATTTACTAGAGTTTTATACTAGAATGCAGAATTCTACTTAAATTAAAACACTTTTAAATTACAGGTTAATCATTGGTTTAAAATAAAAATCTACTTATTCAAATGGACAACAAAGAAATACAATGAATAGCAATCTACTATCTAATTTGTGTCCTTGTGCTCCCGTCTTCTCCTTTAGTACCACGGTTGCTACCATAACCTATAAAACATAAAACATATCTAAAACATTAGACACTGTGTGGTGAGTTATTTTATCTTCTTTTCTTATCTTTCTTTTCATTTTTTTCTCATACTTAGAGATCCAATCTCTTTCTTTCATAGCATACACTGCTATTCTTTCTCTATATCTCCATAATCTATCTTCTGTTCACTTTTCTCATACACTGCTCTATTCTTCATCTTTCTCATCTGGTGTATCTCTTGCTCTATCTTCTAATCTTTTTCTCATACCATTTATTATCCTTTTTCCAGGCTCATCGTATACACTAAACACACTTTATCTCTGTCTCTAACTCTATCTCCGTCTCTATTCTAAATCTTTATGTATTTATTTGTATGTGTCTCTATTTTAAATCTTTATCTTTGTCTCTACCTCTACCTCTATCTTTGTCTTTATTGTAAATCTATATTCTATCTCTTTCTCTACCTCCATCTTTGTATTTACCTCTATCTTTGTCTTTATTCTATCTCTGTCTCTACTTTTTTTTTCTATATGTATTTATATGTATCTATATATGTATTTTCATGTATTTACATATATCTTTATGAATCATTTATAGGTATATGTGTGCATATACATATTTTTTAGGAGTTCTTTTTGTTGGCTAGCCGTTCAATAACATCATATTAGTTGTTTATCTTTTGTTGAATCTACTTTGTTTTGGGTTTTTTGGTGTTTTTTCATTGATTTTTATCTTGAATTAATGTTATATATATATATATATATATATATATATATATATATATATATATATATATTCGTTTTTTTTATTCTTACTTTAAGTTTTCTATTCCACATCCAAGTTGAAATTAGAGAAGGAGTATTGCCTTCAGCTAATATAGAAGTTTATAGAGGAATGCTTTTTAACAGACTTTTTGCACCGATATCTACATAAATGTCTTCGAGTATATATATATATATATATATATATATATATATATATATATATATATATATATATATTTTGTGTTGTATGATTTCACAGGTTGTTGAAATATATATATATTTCACACACACTCACACACACAAACAGAAGTACATTGCTATTTTTTGGATTTAGCCTAAGCAGGGGCTAAATGCAAGAAATAATATTGCAATTTTGTTTGTTAGTCTAATATAGCATCCCAGTTTTGTTTCTATTTTCTACTTTATTTAAAATAAATAACTTTTTTCTTATTAAGCATTATACTTGGAAAGCAATTAGCCTAATAATTGTAGACAATGGGCTTGGTGTTGAACTTAAGGATGCAATTATTGCCTTATTCCATATTATATATATATCCAATCAGGCAAAGTGCAAAAGTATTATTGATTTTTGGTGCATACACAATCATTGCAAGGTTTATATCCCTGGTCTTCAATATAGCCTAGATTTATATCCCCCACTATATGGACAAAAATAAACAAAAAGCTATGTTGAAATTTCAAATGTGCTTGAATGTTTTACCAATATGGACAAATTGAAGAAACAGAGAGCTATATATGTAATTATATTCATAATTAATATAAGCGTGAATGGTTGCAGGGCTTTTTGACGGGGGAGGTATCTGGAAAATTCAATTATACATGTATTAATATTAATAATAAACATAAATGTAATAATCATTGGATGTTCCGAGGTAAGGTGGAGGGTAAAATGGACCACTTTAGATTCAAGGTTATTTATGGGGAAGGGAGGGGAGGGGTATATTGGTCATTTTAAAGAAGATAGTGAATATATATGTATGTGTTTGTATTTGTGTGTTTGTGGCAAGAGATGAGTATATTGGTCATTTTAATCCGAGAAAGCATGGTGAATCATGATAGTCGAATCTTGGTTCATGATCTTCCATACTATTGGTGTCAATACACTCCAATTACTTCTCCATTATACTATAATTATACTCTAATATGGCAACCAACTTTAATTATTGTTTATTATAACATCATAGGGATAATGACGAAAAAACCACTATATTTTGTCACTTTTTTCTAGTTTAACCACCAATTTTTAATAAGTTATAAAAAAACCACCACTTTTTTTGTAAAATATTTCAATGCGGCCATTATTACCTATTAGAACCTATTTTAAGTACGAAAAAAGCACTATATTTTTCAAAAATTTTGGTTTCACCAATAAATTGGTGGTTAAATCAAACTTTTGAAAAAATATATTGCTTTTTTCGTACTTAAAATAGGTTCTAGTATGTAACAGTGGCCGTGCTGAAACATTTTATAAAAAATTGGTGGTTTTTTCGAAAAATATTAAAAATTGGTGGTTAAACCGAACTTTTCGAAAAATAAAATGTTTTTTTCTTCATTTTCCCTATCATCATACTTTAAAAGTTGGTTGCTATTTTAAAGTACAATGCCTTATTAATTATTATTTTAAAATTTTCTTGACCATTATATTATATGTATAGAGACAAACTTTAATTTCAAAAAAATCGATAATTTATATTCTAAAATAGCAACAAATATTAATTTGTTTGATTAAGCATCCTACTTTGGATGTTAGTTGCGATTTTAAAGTATAATGCCTTCATAAGTGCAAACAAAGCTTTTATTTTTTTTCGAGTTTTTTTTAAAGCTTAAAACTCCCAAAACTTGCTTGCCAAACAACCCCTTGGTTTTTTTGTTCGTCAATTTAATGAAAGAATAGGTTAAATTTAAGAAAAGAAATAAATTGTACCCTAATTTCTAAAGAGAATGGCTATCAAAACAACTTGCACACTAAAAATTATTTCCTTATATATTACGAGGGTTACTACTATTTTTTGCCGCAAAACCATCTAATAACAGTGTGTATTCATTTTGTGTTCCTTGAAATATAACAAATTCCCGAATGAAAATTATTGTCGAAACAAACTATTCGCCTCATCGCTTAGCGTGGGTAGTGTGTGTGTATACACACACACACACAAAGAGGTAAGTTCAATTGAGAAAATAAAAAATATTAAAAATGAGAGAATCATTCTCAGTCAATCATTTCTTTTTGCCGCAAAACCCTCCATCGTACCGGCGGAAAGGAAAATGAATTCACGTGTATTTTCCAACCAAACATGTTTCCTTAAACTATATTAATATTTACTTTAATATATATATAAAAAAACATAGTTTATTTTTGTTTTTAATTTTTAAGGAACTATTTTTATCGAAAAACTGTTTTAAATATATCAAAATTCATAATTTTTTATTCTCTGTTAATAGACATCCATTATTCACTTATATAAAAAAACATAGTTTATTTTTGAATAATGAATGTTTATTTATAAGTGAATAATGAATGTCTAATTTTTTATTTACTTATGAATAACAAGACCTGAAACTATAAAAAAATAAAATTTTTATTTTATTTTTAAACAATATCAATATGGATGTCTATATATATATATATATATATATATATATATATATATATATATATATAATATATATATATATATATATATAATGTGTGGCTGA